CTTGAGTGCTCCTGGAGTGGCTCCTGGAGCCTTTTCAAAAATGTCTGAAAATGGAGTGTGAGGGCTATATTTTATTTCTAGATTGAATGTGGTTTCTGTAGAAGGAAAAACAATCTTTACGTTTTTAAATGCTGTAAAAATATGTATAAGTAATATCTAATTTCAACATTTCTGTCAACGTAGTGCGTCATATCCTATGACGCGCGGTCACGCGGCCCCGCCCCATGCGGCCGCTGCTGTAAACAAACCGGCGTGTGTGCATCATAGACTGTAAGTGCACATGGATCCCAAAGCTAAAACGAGAAAGAGTCAATAACAAGACTGGACTAAGAATGAGAATGAACCTTTTCTTTCAGTCAATGAGGAAGGACTGCTTCATGTTTGTAATGAAAAGTTTTGTTGCAACACAAGGAACAATGACGCGCAAAACGACGTAAACGGTGATTACGTGAAGGATTCATTCATCAAAAATTCAGAGCACCTATTTTCAGACTTCAAAACCTTCTCAAAGACGGTGAAAGAAAAGGCCATTAAGGATTTTAATTCAGCTCCAGCAAACTTCAGCCTGTGACGTGATGGATATGAGCAGACAGTGATGCAGGTATGTGACCTCTGAGCCCAAAGCAGATTTATTTACTGTATTTCTACAATTGCATGAAGGCAAAAAAATGGAAGTTAAACTAAAGCAGAGTTGTCACGTGTTGCGTCATTCACGACACGCGTGGTGCGACACGCTGCAGTGAAAATACACATTTGATAATCATGAATGATTATTATGTATTTGTAGCCTTTACTTTGTCATTTAGATATTAGGCTAATATAGCTAATACATCTTACAGCCTGTGTTAACTTCATAAAAGCCTTATACAAGGCTGTTATTTTTTTGCGGCTCCAGACAGATGTTGTTTTTAGTTTTTTTGTCAATTATGGCTCTTTGAACATTTTGGGCTCTAGTTGATACTTGCTCAAATGAATATCCAGTTTCTCTTTTCATGCATTCATTAATTTTCTACACTTTTATTAGTCAATTTCTGAGTCAAGGGGGGTGACAATCAGAGCTGCCACCCAAAGGCAGATGGTGGGTCCACAGGAAGATAGCTTCTCCGTCAGCGGTGACACAGCCTTGGTGTTTCAGCGGGGGCTTCAGGCTATGTGGGGTTAAGTGTCTTGCCCAGGAACACAACAACAGCAGACATTAGTGGGAGCAGTTGGAGTAGGTCGTGTTTGGGGATCTCTACCAACTGAGCCTCTGTCGCCTCGATAAAAATTGGTTAATATCTGTTTTCGGATACTTTTGACAACCTTAGTAGACAGACAGATATAAATATAGTTACTTTAAACAAGTCTTACTTGTGCAGAAATGATGACAAAACCGGTAGAATATTGTCACTGCATGTCCGTAGAATTGCCCCTAGTGCATGGAATGACACCATATATATTGAGAACCAATGGGATTTGGTCCGTCATCATGGATCCCACTTGGCTTGTATATTGATCTGTCTGCTGCTCACCTATAGCTTTGGGTCAATTTCTCCCCATTCTGTCTGAGAACCCAGGTAGTTTTTTTCTTCTCTCCACTGAGCGGGGAGATGAGAAAACTGCACTAATCCTTCCCGGGTTTCAATGATGGAGGTTTTTACAGGCTTACAGGCAGATTTCCGCATGAATGGGCGCTTGCATATCAAGACTTTGTAGCTGTAGGCGGAAAGAGCTGACGTCAATGTCAACAAATGCCAGCGAGCCTGTTTTTCCTGTCCTCTATCCCTTTCCCAAACTGACAGATCAACTACCAAAACTGAAGGTGCATTTTGGTTCTTTGAATGATGGCTTTTGTTGGGAGGAGACAGGCACGGCTTGTTCTGAGATTTCCTGTCTGACCTCTTTTATACCTGTGAAGTAGGGCTGCACTATATAACGGAAAAAATGTAATAATGATTGATAACTTGGCCATACCTGTATGTGGAAGCCAGATCCCGTCAGACCTCTGAAGCTAAGCAGGGCAGCTCTTGGCTAGTACTGTGATGGGATACCTCTGCAAACACCAGGTGCCGCAGTGGTGCGCAGGCGTCTGTAAATTGCCCAACTGCTGTTGTGTCCTTAGGCAAGACACTTCCATCACATTGCCTATAATGAGTCTGGTGTGTGCATGAATGGTTGGTGGTGGTCAGAGGGGCCGATGGCATATACTGATTGACTCGCTTCTCTCAGTATTCCCCAGGGCAGCTGTGGCTACAAGATTACTTACTTACTTACGTCACGGTGGATAGCACTCTGGCTTCTCAGCAAGAAGGTCCTGAGTTTGAATCCCGGTTGGAACGGAGCCTTTCTGAGTGGAGTTTGCATGTTCTCCCCGTGTCTGTCCGTAGGTTTCCTCTCGGTGCTCCGGTTTCCTCTACCACTAAAAACATGTACAATAAGTCTGGCATGCACCTCCTGTATGCCAACCTTGCTCCCATCTCTCTGCCTATGCCCACAACTAATTGTAAAGTGGTCTGTGACTAAGGTCTGTAAAAGACGCTAAATAAAGATTACTTACTTAATGCATAAGTAGCTTAGATAAATATACTCCTCCTGTTCTTGCGTCGTCTTGCGTACAAACATTGCTGCTTATGAAAATGTTTCCTTGATAGATGTCTTATAGGCCCACTTATCAACCTCCGAACATCATAAACTGCTCTCCTCAATCTGCCGCTATCACCCCCTATCCCATCCCACCCGCCTTCTCAGCAACGCTCTGAGGCAGACTGAGCGAGCGGTGATTACATGCTTGACAAACTGATACTGCTGCAGCCCCATCTCTAAAGGAGAAAAGAGAGAGATCGAGAAAGAGAGAGAGAGAATAGAAAATCTTTGCTACACCAGCCTACTGATAGTGTACCAAACTCCATTTCCCCTGACAGCAGGAATCCCCCCGGCAGCTAATGAAAAATTTAAGGCGACTTTTCGGATGTCCACCGAGGGAGCGACACAAAGGGAAGAAGTGATGACACGCGACACACGAGCCTTGAGCGGCCTCACATCGACGTCGACACCATTTTTTTTCAACATTGTCCCAAAAAAAATAAAAATAAAAAAAAGCCAAAAATGCCTCCGGTAGATCAGCTTTAGGAGGGAACTGAGACGGCTATCCTCGGAGCGCTGATTAACTGTCATTCCCCCCCACGCTTTAATGAGATACGTGCCGATGGTCTCTGCCTGGAAGTCGGGAGGGAGGATGGATGGATATATTTAGGGTGTTCCAAAGGCTATAGAGGGACGGCTTGGAAAGAAAGAAAGAAAAAAGAGAGAAACTTAAGATTTTGATGAGGCAAGAAGCGGAGAAAAGGAAGCAATAGTGTGTGGGTAGCAACGGAAGGAGGAGGTTGTCGATCAAGTGGGTTTGGTGTTAAAAGGAATGCGCTCATTTCATCTCCGCGGTGAAAGGAAGCGCGAGCCAGGCTTGATTTTGATGAGGCGTAATGATCAAAAGGGGGTTGGAGTGGTAAGAGAAGGCTAATTTGAAGGAAGACTTTGAATGAACTAATGGAGATCATTTCCCTATCCTTATAAGGTTAAGATAATGACTCAAACTACTGTGTGTGTATAAGAGAGTAAGGTAAAACTTGTAGTGTTTACCTGTGATTGATTCCTGCTTCTCCGTCACCTGTCACAAATTATACATCTGTTTAGATACCATTTATCAATTCTAAAAACTTCTGCTTGCTATGACGAAACACAACAATGAGCAGTCGGATTCAATGAATAAAAGTTGCTATAATAACTGCTTGAGATTGAGATTACTGCAAGATATTATGTAAGTAAGTAAGTTACTAATAGGTCATATTATATCATCATTTTTATAGCTAACAACCACGGCATTAATTTTACCATAAACATTGAACCCTAACGCAATAAGTCAAAGTCAAAAAGTACATTTTATGCAACCCAGCAGTCTTCAATTCAAAGACTCAATGCTTTTGGTCCAATTACCGTACTTTCTGGACTATAAGGCGCACCTGGATATAAGCCATGCCACCTACATTTTAAAATAAAATCCTTTTGAATATAAGCCGCCGGTTTTAATGTTGTAATCGAGCAGAGAAACTGTTTTAACCACAACAAGATTTATTGACGAGGTGTGAACATCACTCATTTCACCAGTCTTTTTCGACAATAGATCAGTGTTCTGTAACTTCTAAAACTTCCATGAACTCTGCAACAGCTGTACCACAATTAAAATACACATATGAGCCACTGGTTTCAAATAACTAGAAAAATGTAGCGGCTAGGTATTTATCCCTGAATACCGTCCGGGCTTCTTAATCGGCAAACCAATAAATCATTCCTAAGTGAGCTTTATTTTTTTATAATTTCTCTCAAAAAGTATGATAAACTTGATCTGAAATAGAGAGAATTGTCTTTTTTTAGTATTCCTGGATGGTAAAAACAAAAACTCCAATGCGTTTTCTGTAGCTGTGTGATGGTGCAAGGACAACTTATTTTTCCTGCAACCCAATAAATCTATTTCATGCTGTTGTAACCCGTCCCACAATGTCTCGCGTCTGCTTCTAACACTCTGCTGTTGGAGTAAAAACTGGGAGCATGCACTGTTGCTCCAGCATGACATTTAATTTGTAATCAAAAAGGAAAAGTTTAAAGCTACGTAAACCTTTTGTCCAGGAACATAGCAAAGTCCAGGATGACAGAATTGGCTCCATGATGTTCATTTGTTGGAGCAAAATGACAGGTGTTTTGCTGTGAGCTAACAGCTGATGCCTGCTGACCACATGGGCCAATGGTCTGCTGGAGAAATGATCTGAAACCTAATCTAAATATCTCTGGGCACAGAGTTGGAATCAGCCAGTAAGCATGACTTTAGCTTGTGTTTCAAATTGCTGTTGTATTTTGATCCTGTTTGCTTGGGTTTTTCTGCTTTATTCACATAATACATTCTTTAGTGTTTCTACACAACACACAGTGATAGTTGCATTTCCTCAGACTTGTTTCCTTTGTGTCCGCAGCTGACCCTCTTGTCGGGAGCATCGCCACACAGTACCTGACCAACAGAGCGGAACACGACAGGATAGCCAAACAGTGGACCAAGCGTTACGCCACATAGACTGTAGTGACCGCTGTCCACCTCCACCTGCAGCCTCCTCACCCCCCTCTGAGCCCTCTATGGAAGCACACCCACTCCTCTCATCCACCGGACCCCAAAAGACGAACTGTTCTCTGTTCCATGCTGACTTGAAAGCTTCTTTTTTATACAGAGTCTATTGGGATTGTATTTTCCAATACACTGAATGTTGATATGGTCATGAAAAGCTTTAATACTGTTACTGTTCTTGTTCTTGTCGATGTTCTTTTGTTTATATGGGGCTGGGATTGTAGGAGAACTATCAGTTCATCTGTATTTAGATTGATGTGTGGGTCTTAAACAGTATGTTTTATTGGTTTGCATGTGTTAGTATCTTTGCATGCATGTGAACATTTGTAATACTATTGTAAAGAAATGTCATGTGTAACATTACAGAACTACCAGCCTTGTATATCGCCTTGTGTCATTGAGAAGCTGAGCTTTTCATGTTGTGGTGGAGGTTACACTTCAGCTGTTACATACATAAAAAAGGCTGAACTGGTCTTCAAAATACATTCAAAATTATGTATTATGTATTTTTATACATAACCCTTGATACTAGGGCTGGGCAATAAATCTAATTAATCTGATTGATCGACCATTTTGAAAATCAAAGATGTGAAAGATGTGAAAAATGTTATGAGAACATGTTCTCTCTGGTCTCGGGCTTCTGCTGCGAGTGGATGCAACAGGGCAATCCATAATGAATGTGTTCTCAAAAAGGCACAACATGGATTATACTTCAGATGTCAGCGTCTGTACACTACTTTTATTGATTGTCTTGTCCAATCTTTTACAGTATGTTCCAACTGGTTGAAATTCATCTTCATCCAGAGTGGTCTCGTTCTGGACTCATCTCCACTTGTAGTAGAGGAACTTAACCAATCTGTGTTTGAGAACTCGACCTGTTTCTGGATAAAAGACTAGATCTGACGGACTGTTTTTATCGTATCCCACAAAAACTCCTTCGTCACACTTTGCGTCTAGCTTCGTTTTGTTTTGTCGATAACTGTAACAAACTGACCCAAAACATGGACATGTTCGGCTTTCTCCCTGTCAACAAATAGTGAGGGGTCTGTCCTGTGCGTCTGTTGTAACACCTGTTGTGAATTACTGCAGCAGTCATTACAGCATAAGTCCATAGTCTTTTAGGTAAATTACTCTCAAGCAACATACAACGTGCCATCTCAAAAAGTGTTCTCCAATTTCTCTGGACTGTCCCGTTCTGATGGGGTGAGTACGGTGCAGAGGTTTCATGTCTTATTGCGTTCTCTCTCAGCAATGATTGAAACTCTCTGGAAGTAAACTCTGTGCCGTTGTCTGATCTGATTCGTTTCACTTTCCCATAGGGGGCGACATCTGCTAGAAATGTCTCAGTTGCTTCTACAGTGTCACTTTTAGCTTTTGAGAAATAAACAAAAGTTGTACCTGAATAGTCGTCAGTAAAAGCTTTTGAGTATCTGAACCCGTCTTTTGCCTCAGGGTCGATCGGTCGAGCTAAGTCAGTGTGTACCAGCTCTAATGGTGCATTCAGACCGCAAACGCTCAAACGCTGAAGCCCCGCTCACCAGACGCGCATTCTCTAGTTTTCAGACGCAGAGGACTTCACACCAGAACGTCCTGATGCGAGCCGGAAGTACCGGAAGTAGCCGGCCGGCTCTGATGCTAACAGAGCTATGCTAGCGGCTTCTTGTGTACAGATCTTCTCCAATATACAGCTTTGCAGCGTGTCTTTGCCCAGAGACCTTCCACGGGCTTAAAATAACAGTAGTTATATATAGCTATACGTGTTTTCATATTATTAAACGGTATTTCCGCATCGGCGAACACACTCGAAGCAGTTGCATAAAGTCACAGGAGCATGACAACGCATATTTTCACAAGCACAGAGTCCCCCATTGTCAACCCTGGTTTAGTCCTGGTGTAGCTCCTTTTTTGGCTGTTTACAGTATGTTCAGTCTGCTCATTCAGACCACCAATGTGACCACTTTGCAGCTCTCTGATTGGTCGCTGCACGAACGTCCCGGGGAAAAGTTGAGCAAAGTTTATCTCCTGTGGGCGTCCATTTTCTGCTCCTGCTCCTCCCCTTTCACTTTCCGGCCAAGTCCGTGCGGCTCTACTCAGCGGTCCATAGGTGCGTGCCGAGAGGTCGGTGCGCTGCAACGCGCGTCACCATCAGAATCAGAATCAGAACCTTTTTTATTGCCACATAAGTAACAGGAGGTCACAGACTTGGAAATTGCTTTGGCTCGGTGCAACAGTCAGAGAGAAAGAATAAAATAAAATAAAAAAGAATAAAAAACACTTCTAAGGAATAAATTTAAAATTAAAATTAAAATAGAGTTACAATTACTATGTAACATAGTAACATAGTTACTACCTTACATTGTGTGCACATGGTGCACACAATGTAAGGTGACAGCAGTACAGGGAGCAGTAGGGGACTCCTAGAGGGCGGGGAGGTTAGGAAGTGTTCAAGTGTTCAAGAGTCCAACAGCAGAGGGGAAGAAACTGTTCTTGTGGCGGGAGGTTCTAGTCCTGATGGACCACTCCCCTCAGGCAGGAGGGGAGTGGTTGGAATAGTCCATGTGCAGGGTGAGAGGGGTCGGCTGTGATACGACCAGCCCGGCCTCGAGCTCGGGCGACGTACAGGTCCTGCAGCGATGGAAGGCTGCGGACGATCACCTTCTCTGCAGAGCGCACAATGCGCTGTAGTCTCTGTTTGTCCCTGACTGTGGCTCCAGCGAACCACACGGTGATGGAGGAGGGGAGGATGGACTCGATGATGGCCGTGTAGAACTGCACCAACATCTGTACAGGCAGCTTGGCTTTCCTGAGCTGCCGCAGGAAGTACATCCTCTGCTGGGCCTTCTTGATGAGGGAGCTGATGGTCGGCTCCCACTTGAGGTCCTGGTTGATGGTGGTGCCCAGGAAACGGAAGGACTCCACAGAGGTGATGGGGGAGTCCATCACGGAGGGTGGGGACAGTGCTCTTCCTGAAGTCCACAATCATCTCCACTGTCTTCTGGGCGTTCAGCTCCAGGTTGTTACCACTGCACCAGGACACCAGCCGGTCCACCTCCTGTAGGCGGACTCATCGTTGTTGGAGATGAGTCCGATGAGGGTGCCTTAAAAGAAAGTTCAGGGAAATGTGTAACCCCCAAACCAACATAACGATGGAGAGACACAAGTTCAATACACGAAATCAAAAGGCTGGTGAAACAGTTGAGTCATATGTGAGTGATTTGAGAATAAAAGCGAAGAGCTGTAATTTTGGTGAGCTTCGTGAGGAACTTGTCAGAGACAGACTGGTCTGTGGCATAAACAACGACCACCTTAGGAAAGTTTTGCTTCGTGACAGTGATTTAACACTCGCTAAAGCCATTTCAGTGTGCCAGATTCATGAGATGACTGAGGAGCACAATAAATCGCTCATGTCGCCACAAAGCTCCAGCCACGAATGTAGATGCAGTACAAAACAACTACACAAAAAGACGCAACACTGAGAGGTTCGACAGATCAAACGCAAAACCCACACAGTTAATTAACAACTGCAACAATTGTGGTGGGAGTCATTCAGCTGCAAGGATTAAATGTCCAGCATATGGCCAACAGTGCAACGCTTGTAAGAGAATGAACCACTTCAAAAAGTGTTGCAGGTCCAGACCTCAGTACGACAGGCTTAGACAAGAGAAATCGGTCCACCAGGTGTATACTGAACACAAAGAGGAGAGTGACAGTGACAGTAACACATATTATGTGAATGGCATTACACTGGACCTGGCGGTGGACTCTACTGTAGCACAAACAAACGAAAAGGAGGAAGCTTTCACAACGTTGCGGATTAATGATAAAATCATCGAGATGAAAGTGGACACTGGTGCCAAATGTAATGTCCTCTCAACAAAGACGTTTCTCAAGGTGAAAAAATTTGAACAAATCAAACCATGCACTAAACCAACGAACCTGGTTGCATATGGAGGCAGTAAGATAAAGACTGAGGGAATCGTTGACCTGTGCTGCCACCTAGGGGCTAAGTGCTACACCCTGCCATTCTTCGTTATTGAGGAGCATGTACAGCCATTGCTTGGTCTCAACGCTTCCTTACAGATGGATCTCGTCTCACTCAGCAAGGAAGTTCACCAAGTGAGTAGCTCTGCAATAACTAATGATTTCACTCAACAGATTAAAACAAAGTACAGTGATCTTTTTGCAGATGAACTGGGAAAGCTACCAGTTACTTACTCAATGACGCTGGATCCTGAGGTGAGACCTGTAGTTCGCTCAGCACACCGCATTTCTGTGGCGATGAAAGACAGAGTAAAAAACGAATTGGACAGAATGCAAGAACTAGAGGTCATTAAACCAGTATCAGAACCCACAGACTGGGTATCTTCCATGGTCGCCACAAATAAGAAGGACAAACAAGAAATACGGATCTGCATAAATCCAAAGGACCTTAACGCGGCTCTTAAAAGACCACACCACCCGATGCGCACAGTAGATGATGTCGCATCACAAATGTCTAATGCCACAGTGTTCTCAGTATTGGATGCAAAGAGCTCATTTTGGCAGATATCACTGGACCACAAATCATCTATGCTAACTACTTTTAGCACATGCTTTGGTCGTTACAGATTCCTCCGAATGCCGTTTGGGATAAGTTCTGCCAGTGAGGTATTTCAACGCTCCATGGAGCAGATCTTTGCTGGTTACCCCTGCGCCATCATTGTGGACGACATACTGATTGGAGGCAAGGACATTGAGGAGCATGATGCAAACCTAAAAAAGGTACTTGACAGAGCGAGAGAGGTTAATCTAAGGCTCAACCCTTCAAAGTGCAAATTCAGGCTCAATCAAGTCAGTTATGTTGGACATGTTTTCACTGCACACGGTCTGAAGGCAGACCCCACGAAAACAAAGGCGATCAGTGACATGCCAGTGCCAGCGGATGTGCCGGCTGTGCAAAGGTTTCTCGGTATGGTTAATTACCTCGGGAAATTCATCCCTAATTTCAGTGAGACCTCTGCTCCACTGAGACAATTAACACACAAAGACACTGAATGGTCGTGGCATGAACAGCATCAGCGCGCGTTTGACACCCTTAAAGGGCACATGTCAAATCCTCCCGTTCTATCGTATTATGATGTGCGGAAGAATGTTACACTTACCTGTGATGCCTCGCAATATGGACTTGGTGCTGCGTGCCTGCAGGGTGGCAGACCTGTGGCTTATGCCTCACGCACTTTAACAGATACCGAAACGCGTTATGCGCAAATAGAAAAAGAGCTATTAGCTGTTGTTTTTGCATGTTCAAAGTTTCATGATTACATTTATGGCAAATCTATCACCGTTGAAACTGATCATCAACCGCTTGTCACAATCATCAAAAAGCCCATTCATACTGCTCCGGCCAGGCTGCAGAGGATGATGCTGCGGCTCCAGAAGTACAGCATTGAGTTAATCTACAAAAGCGGCAAACAAATGCACCTGGCTGACACTTTGTCCAGGGCTCCCACAAGCTCCACGGCACAACTTGAAGACGAGGTGGATGATTTTGATGTAATGACTGTCAGCTATGTGTCATCTGCTCGTTTACAGGAACTGCGAGAACACACAGCCATTGATCGGACTCTCCAGACCCTCAGCGGCGTCATCAGACATGGCTGGCCAAGTAAACTACACAATCTCCCTTTTGCAATGCATCCTTTCTTTCCCTTTAGAGATGAGCTTGCTGTTGAGGATGGTATTGTTATGAAGGGTCAGAAAACTGTAATTCCACATTCATTACAGAAGACATACATTGACATTGTACATAGGGGCCACCCTGGCTCGGAAGCTACAAAACGGAGGGCGAGAGGCATTGTGTTTTGGCCTACAATGACAATGGACATTGATAACGAGGTTCAGGCATGCTCGGTGTGTAATAGCACTAAACCACATCAGCAAAAAGAGCCGTTGTTCCTGCACACCATTCCTGAGCTCCCTTGATCGACTGTAGCTGCTGACATCTTTGAATGGCACGGCCAGCAGTATCTGGTGCTTGTGGATTCCTTCTCGGGCTGGTTCGAGATCGACCTGTTAAACAACATCACGTCGGCTAATGTGATCTGAAAACTAAAAAGGCACTTCTCGGTCCATGGAGCCCCTCACACTCTGATCACAGATAATGGACGACAGTTCACAAGTCAGTGCTTTAAGGACTTTGCAGCTCAATGGGACTTTGCTCATGTTACTAGCAGCCCAGAGTATCCTCAATCGAATGGACTAGCAGAGAGAGCCGTCCGTAGTGCTAAGAACCTCATGGAGAAATCACATAGGGACAAAACAGATGTGTTTCTCTGCCTGCTGAACTTAAGGAACGTACCTAGAGACTCTAAACTTGGATCTCCAGCACAAAGACTTATGTCTAGGCAAACACGCTCCACTCTTCCAGTGTCCAAAGAGCTGCTTGCTCCCAAAATGCTCAATCCTGAGGAAGTGCGCGAACAGCTTCTGAATAAAAGACTGACACAAAAGGTGTATTATGACAAGACAAGCAGGGCTCTTAAGCCTTTGTCGGAAGGACAGGTGGTCAGACTGCAAACACCAAAAGGATATGACCGCACCGGAATAGTCAAAGAGATGTGCGTTGAGCCGAGATCGTACTTGATCCAGTCTGAAGGACAAACATACAGGAGGAACCGAAAACACATCTTACATGTTGCTGAGCCGGCTCCAACTCAGTTAATGGCACACGATTTTAATCAGGACATTAGGCCTGACACAGGACAGACACAGCAGGGAATGGACTCTGAGCGCCCAGTAGTACTGAAGGCCCCCCACTCCAGGCTTTAAACCCAGTACGAAGAGAGCGCACCGACCACGACAGTACAGTGCTTGGTGCTGTCCCCACTCCAACACCACACCACCCATTACCATACCTCCCCTTCTAGACACGTAGGACTCACGACGCCGTAAAAGCGTAACGATTTCTGCCATGTAGTCGACTATCCCCGCTCAACGGATTTGCTTAAACGACAAAACACAAGAAAATAAAACACTGTGGGCGGCACGGTGGCTGAGTGGATAGCACTCTCGCCTCTCAGCAAGAAGGTCCTGGGTTCGAATCCCGGTTGGACCAGGGCTTTTCTTAGTGGAGTTTGCATGTTCTCCCCGTGTCTGCGTAGGTTTCCTCCGGGTGCTCCGGTTTCCCCTACCACTAAAAATATGTACAATAGGTCTGGCATGTGCCTCCTGTACTGGCACTCCACTCCCAAAAATCACAATTGTAAACCGCTTTGAGACTCCGATGTGCAGTGTAAAGGCGGTATATAAATAAAGATTACTACTACTACTTACTTATTGCACGCCCCACTTTTCAGTTTTTTATTTGTTAAAAAAGTTTAAATTATCCAACAAATTTCATTCCACTTCACGATTGTGTCCCACTTGTTGATTCATGACAAAAAATTAAAAATGTATATCTTTATGTTTGAAGCCTGAAATATGGCGAAATGTTGAAAGGTTCAAGGGGGCCGAATACTTTCGCAAGGCACTGTATAAATACGAAAGTTTCTTCAGCCCAAAACACATGTATTTGTACTGAAAGCCAGAGCTTTCAAATACATTTCCTAATTTTGAAAAAGCTGACAAAAGGATAAATAGGCCTTATCCACAGGAGGAAGAAAGTTCTGTAAATATTAATGTAATAAAAAAAAAAGTGTGGGTTCATTTTCACAAAATAATAAGAAAAATAGTATGCAATGCTGTAACCCAGAGCCCACAGACTCTGCTTCAGGTCGAGCTCAAGAAGAGAGGAGGAGGTGGATGAGGAAAGAGAGAGAGAGGATGGGACGAGAGAAGGAAGGAGAGGGGGAGAGAGAGTGAGACCTAAGCCAGACACAAACTTCAGCCACGATGAGATGTGACTGATCTGGATCTGAGGAGGGTTCACTGGAGACAGAGCAGAGAACACAGAGCAGAGAGCACAGAGCAGAGAACACAGAGCAGAGAGCACAGAGCAGAGAGCACAGAGCAGAGAGCACAGAGCAGAGAGCACAGAGCACAGAGCACAGAGCACAGACAGAGAACACAGAGCAGAGAACACAGAGCAGAGAACACAGAGCAGAGAACACAGAGCAGAGAACACAGAGCAGAGAGCACAGAGCAGAGAACACAGAGCAGAGAACACAGAGCAGAGAACACAGAGCAGAGAGCACAGAGCAGAGAACACAGAGCAGAGAACACAGAGCAGAGAGCAGAGAGCAGAGAACACAGAGCAGAGAGCAGAGAGCAGAGAGCACAGAGCAGAGAGCACAGAGCACAGAGCAGAGAGCACAGAGCAGAGAACACAGAGCAGAGAGCAGAGAGCAGAGAGCAGAGAGCAGAGAGCACAGAACACAGAGCAGAGAGCACAGAGCAGAGAGCACAGAGCAGAGAGCACAGAGCAGAGAGCACAGAGCAGAGAACACAGAGCAGAGAGCACAGCCTCTGGACTGTAACATGGTCCTCTTGAAATGTAAGGTAAAATGCACCTTACATTTGAAGGAAACCCTAAAGATATTGATGAACAGCTTCATTTGAGGCTAAATAACAATGATCGAGAAGGATTGAACCTGTGAGAGCACGTGATCCTGGACCTTTCTATTGTATTGACTTTTTTTAAAGTGAGTGAAGAAAAGTCCAACATACACGTTATTTACAAATCACATGAATGAAGGTTGAACTAAGTCTACAGCTGAGAGAAAACAGTAAGTGGAGAGGACAAAGGACAGGCTAACGACTAGCATTAGCATTAGCATTAGCATTAGCCCCGACACAGGATCACTCAGATCTTGGCACAAACAAAGTTAAAGCTGGAATCCCCGAGGCCCACGTGACTCAAAGCCACAGTCTGTTAGTGGACAATAAAGAGTTTAAAGTCTTGTACTTACATCTGTCTCTGTGGGAGTCTGTTGTAGATCCAAGGAGGGACTGAAGGAAAATGGGGCCGTGTGAAACAACAAAAACACGCTCTTGTTCTTACTTCCGGGTCTTCTTCTTCTTTTAGTTTCCGGCAGACTTGGCGCCTCTTCGCACATTGCTGCCTTTCCCGGTCATATTGTGCACTGCATTCATTTCTGCAGGTTATAGACTTCAAGCCTATTGCCTATACCCAGATATTCAGCTCAGCTGCTCGCACAAAGTTCAAAACCGCTCTCACAACATGGTTCTGTTCTCTAGCTGGGCTCAGGAGTGACTTCAGATTCCAGTCCATTGCTAACTTAGACACCAACTCCTTCAGAACGGCTCGCTGACCAAAATATACTGGACAATGCATGACAACGACAGTTTGATTTTCGTTACAGTGTGCACATAACCCACTTTGATGTTTACCCTCTATATACAGTGCCTTGCGAAAGTATTCGGCCCCCTTGAACCTTTCAACATTTCGCCACATTTCAGGCTTCAAACATAAAGATATAAAATTGTAATTTTTTGTCATGAATCAACAACAAGTGGGACACAATCGTGAAGTGGAACGAAATTTATTGGATAATTTAAACTTTTTTAACAAATAAAAAACTGAAAAGTGGGGCGTGCAATATTATTCGGCCCCCTTGCGCTAATACTTTGTAGCGCCACCTTTTGCTGCAATTACAGCTGCAAGTCATCAATCATGTTGTTGATTCATGACAAAAAAATATTTTTTTATATCTTTACGTTTGAAGCCTGAAATGTGGCGAAATGTTGAAAGGTTCAAGGGGGGCGAATACTTTCGCAAGGTACTGTATCTGTCCCACGCTAGCCCACAATGCCCAAGTCTCAGTCTAGTAAGGATGACCTCAGACCTCCTATCCGTAACAATTATTACTGGTTTACATTTGAGAGAGGAATGAATAGAGTATAAATGACGCCCCCTGCTGTCTCCATCCCACATTGCTTGCCAAGCAGCTGTAACATGCATGTTTATCTTAGTTTTCCACTCACTCATGTTTTGCCGCCATATCTGCCACTTCATTGCCCCAGATACCAACATGAGCCGGCTCCCAAAGAAACCCCACCGACCCTTAGATTGCTCAATCTCAGATATTTCAGTTAGTACCTCAGTCACTAAATCTGGCCTGGCATTGCCTTTGTCAAAACCTATTGAGTTTAACACCGCAGCTGAGTCAGAACATACAACAATTTGGTCTTGTTTAGATGCCTTTGCCCACTGAAGGGCACATGTTATTGCTGTGATTTCTGCAGTGTGCACAGACATCTCATACTGAAAGTAACCTCTAACTGAGGCACAAAAAAGGCACACCCCGTCCTTCCAGACTCCTTTTCCTTTGAGCCGTCTGTATAGATCTGTAAATGGCCTTCCCATCTCCCTCCCAACGCCTGTTCTACAAGGTTAAAATATTCAGGGTCATTATTTCCCCTTTTACCTTCTAACACTGACATGTCAATGTCAGGGGATGGTAAAGTCCAAGGAGGAATGGCTGGCCATATCAGCTGAGGGGCAACCCCCACCTCTCTAAAGCTCAACTTCTCCATTTCTTTACATACAGTAATCACAAAGGGTTCATGGTTCCTTCTTGCTCCCAACTCCCATGATGGATCTAGCAACCGTTTCGCTGGGAAGTCCCCAATACACGCTCTTTAACCAGGTACTGCATAGCTAGCTTGTCTCGTCTAATGCTTAAAGGTGATTCCCCTACCTCTACCAGTAGTGCAGGAATTGGAAAGGACCTGCAGGCTCCGCAGCAAACCCTCAGTGCTTTAGCCTGAACAACATCCAGTCTGTTTAAATGAGACATTGCTGCGCTACCGTATGCTGAACACCCATAATCTAATTTTGACCTTACCATTGCCCGATAAAACTGCATTTGGGTTTCTCTCAGACCCCCCAACAACTTCCCGACAGAGCCCTCATCACATTTATCACCTTTTCACATTTAACTATAACATTTTCAATATGCTTTTTCCACAGGCACTTTTCATCAAGGATTACTCCAAGAAAGTTAATGTCCCTCACCCTTTCAATTTGCTGCCCATACATCCTCAGCTCCTGACTGCCAACCTTTTTATCTCCAAAAATCACACATTTACTTCTCTCAACAGAAATTCTAAACCCCCAGTCCTGCCCCCATTGCACCACTTTATTAACAGCTGCCTGCATCTGCCCTATCACATTGTCTACGTTTCTTCCTCTTTTCCAAATAGCTCCATCCTCCGCAAAGAGAGATGTGCCAAATGAAGGACCTAGGGAGTTAAAAATATCATTGACCATGACATTGAATAAAATTGAACTGATCACACTTCCTTGTGGTGCACCATTATCAATCTCTGTTCCCTCTGAAAGGTCCTTTCCCACCCTGACTTGGATCACTCTGTTGCAAAGGAAGTCTTGAATCCAGTTGAGCAATACGTCCATGAATACCACTGTCATAGAGCTTAATCCCCAGGCCATCCCGCCATAACATATCATAGGCTTTTTCAATGTCTATGAAGACAGCCACCAAACTTTGCTTATTGACCAAAGCCTTCCTTATGTCACAATCCAGGCTGAGGACAGAATCCATAGTACCCCGACCTTTTCGAAACCCACTTTGCACAGGTGATAGTTTTCCTTCCCTTTCGAGTCTATAGACAAGCCTGTTAGTAACCATTCTCTCCATAACCTTACACAAAACAGAGGTTAGAGCAATTGGCCGATATGAGCCTGCCTCAGACGCATTCTTTCCAGGTTTAAGAATAGGCACGAATACTGCCTGCTTCCACGCTGACGGAAGCTTCCCCTGCTCCCAAACATTATTAATAAGAGCCAATAATTCATATAACACATTCTCACTCAGTCTTTTGAGTAACTCATAACTAATCCCATCTTTCCCAGGAGCAGACCTTTTCCCTTTACCAATAGCGCTTTCCAGCTCCTCCAAGGAGAAGTACACATTACACACATCAGAGTTGTCATCACTAACTTCGAGCTTGTGCCTGTTTACATCCAAAGTGACATCTCTCTTCCTCCTATCCTCTAATTGAAAATTTTCACCACTATGAAAGGCTCTGAACTTATCTTGGAGCACCCTGGCCTTTCCCAAATTTGTTGATACTGATAACCCTTTGTCTTCTAAAACTGGAATGTCCATTTTCCGACTGACTCCTGACATACGTTTCACAGCCCTCCAAATATCTTTCAGCGAGGTCTCTACTCCCAGTGTACCACAATACTTCCTCCAGCTCTCTCTTTTAGCTGACTTAATTATTCTCCTGGCTGAAGCCCTTAATCTTTTAAACACTATTCCATTTCCTTGTGTTGGATATTTTTTAAGCACTCGTCACCTGAGGTACCTTTTTAAAAGTTCACAGTAACAGTAAATAAACCAGGAACTAAAACCAAGGACACAGGTAAGTATGTAAAAACAACGACAGAGACAAGACTTAAAATGTGCGATTAGAATTTTATTAAAAAGCTGGAGCAATTAAGAGTTTAAAAAAAAGATTTTAATTCATTGCAATGTAATTATTTAAAAGTCCAGAAGTCAAAATATAAAAGCCCACCAAAAGGTTTAAAAGCTGCAGCCCCTGGGCATCATAAAAATTCAATATACTAAAATAAACTAATAACTAAATGAATCCAACGAGGGCGACCTGCGCGGGGAGTAGCCCCACCCGTAACAAAACTGAAAGTGCTACCCTCACTCACAACAAAACAACTGAAGACCCAATAGTGCAAATAACTGAAAGAAACTGGGCTAGGTCCCCCTCAGGCGCGCCCCGGGAGAACTAAATATAACTAAACTATACACCTAAGCTCCAGAGTCTACAGCATTAAAACCTAAAAACCTTTATTTAAAAGTGCAGTGCTGGATAAAAAAAAAAAACACAAAACAGTAAACTAAAGGCAAAACCAAAACCCTACAAAACAGTAGCAGGCTGTACCCCGGATGCCAGGCAAGTACCACTGTGGCGGTGGCCACTCCTAGTGTCCGCCACACACTCTAAAAGCCCTTTTCCTCTCCCTCACAGCATCCTCACAGTCTTTATTCCACCATGGTACTTTGGCACGTTCTTTTTGACACTTCTTTACAGGAATACACTCATACGCACTATCCATAATAATCCTACACAAACTATCATTCCATTCACTGAGTGTACCTCCCTCAATTACTCCATCTATTCATTAATCACATAACTTACTAAATTTATCCCAATCCGCCCGCTCATAATTAAAATACTCAGGATTATGCTCCTTCTTCTTCAATAAAGGTTTCCCAAACCTCAAGAGAATAGGCCAATGGTCACTGCCAACATTCTCCTCCATAACCTCCCACTCTCCCACTCTGGCCAAACCACTGGACACAAAGGCTAAATCAATACTTGAGACTGTTCCTGACTGGATGTTAAAACGTGTAGGCCTTCCATCATTCAAACAAACTAACCCACTTGACTCCATAAAATCTTCAATAACACCTCCATTTACATCCCTACTACCACTCCCCCAAAGAGGGTTATGCCCATTAAAATCCCCCACCCAAACTATGTGACGCCCAATCTGTGCTTTCACGTCCTCAAGCTCCGACAGCTGAATCTGGATACACGGGTTGTACATATTTACTACCGTAATCCATCCCTCCTCACCCCACACCCTGACTGCTACACACTCGAGTGAGGTCTTAAGATCCACTTTTTGAAACTGGACCTCATTTTTAATAAAGGTTGCACAACCTCCACCAGCTCTCTCACCCCTATCTAACCTGACACTATCATACCCAGGAATTACACAATCTAAGCATGGTTTTAACCATGTTTCTTGAATACAAATAATCTCAGGAGGTGGCATAAAATCACATAAAAATCTCTTCAGCTCTTGACCATTCAAACATACTGCTCAACTGGTGTCAAAACCTCCATCATTAACCTCAATACTTCCATCCTCAGCAACTATGACATCTGCACTTGCTTGTGCACTTTGAGATCTATCCCTTCCATTCTCTGTTTCATAAAGTAAAAAAGATCCTCAGGCACTACTCTGTCCCCGTCAAGAAATCTCTCTGCTGCCCCAGTCACTACTTTAATCAAATCTGACCTTCTCTCACACTTCTTTGCAGCCCAGAGAATATCCACCATGAAGGATAGCATTGGTTGAGACACAGTAACAATTGCCACTTTACGTGCAGGAGCAGCATGGACTACACCTCTGGGTGAACTACCCTCCCCAACCTTTTTAAGTGCTTCAGCATACGACAATTTACCCTCTGCTCTAACTTTTTCTACTTCTACAGCTCGCTGATGGAAACTACACTCTCTGGATGAAGAGGTGTGGTTGCCCCCACAGTTGCAGCACTTAGCCTGGTCACTCTCACATTCAGTAAACGCATGGTTTCCTCCACATTTACCACATCTTACAGCCCCTCTACATGCTGCCACAACATGGCCAAAACGCACTTGTAACAGCGGAGAGGGGGGTCTATTGTACTGTCTGACTGTGTAGCTCATGTACCCCAAAGTGACTCGGTCAGGGAGAGAATCCTGTTTAAAGGTGAACAGTACAGCTGTACCAGTGCTCCTAAACCTCCTTGCAGACTCCACCTAAGCCCCTTTAATAGTTTGCACAATAGAGCTTTCTGAAATCTCAGGGCTCACCTCTTAAGCCTGGTTCACACGGCAGGATATTTAGGCCGATTTAGACCCGATTTACCCCTTACGACAATCTTAAGAAACGCTCCGATTTCCGTAACAAAATCTTACAGATTATCCTGCCGTGTGTGGTGTGTTAAGACTGCACTCGTCGCTCGGAAGGACATCGGGACTGCTCCCGATCTCAAATCGATTGTTTTGGCCCGATTTCTTGTCGTGTGTGGTGTCCTCCGAGGACAAGCGAGCGCGTTGCCATGACTACGGCGTGTAGCCAATAAGAAGACGAGGTGACAAGCCGGTGAGGAAACACCGGAAAAAAACCAAAACACAGCAGCATGGCTTTGACCATTGCCTTTTCTTTGGATTACGTGTCTTCTCTGTTAACAACAAACTGCACACTATCGCCACTGCATCCTCTTCGTCCGCCATGACTGTTTACTCTGAAGTCACGCTTGATCTCGAGAGATTTCCGTCTGACCTGGGAATGCTCGGGGGGTGTCGGTTCGTGTGTGATGTTTGTGGCTTGCGTGATCTTGCCGTGTGGCTACGCACCACACACTGCACGACCAAAGTGGTTAGACGCAGGATTTTTAATCTCCCCGTGTGGGGTCTAACACGGAGAAAAATCGGCCGACAATTTTAAAATCGTCTCGTGTGAGCCAGGCTTTACACTGCTTCCTTGGTCTGGAACACCTTCAGTGGTTTTGCCCGCTGGGCCTCAGTTTTACACAAAATCAGGAAGGTTCCGTTCATTAACATTTTTACATTCAAAACTCCTCCCAATTTGTCTCGAATGTCTTCGGACAGCTTAAGTGGATTAATGGCCCTATCACTTTTGTCCTTGAATTTAACGATGATCTTGAATTCACTACTTTGATCCTCCAGACGAGACATTTTCCTCGCTTCCTCGCTACACTCGTCTCCACTGTCAATCCCTGGTCTATTCCTTTTCCGACGTCCTCCCCCCATACGCCGACGCTAGCAACAAGCTGCAGCGACAACGGCTAGTGTACCCCTACCCTACACCCACCGCACACTAACCTTCAACAAACTAAACCAATCCAACATATAAATCATATACAGAGCCTTAACAATGGGAAAGTGCACACTGCAACCAAGATTCAAACTCACACACCTCGACCTCATACAGGAAGTCCGCTGCGTCTCTCTCCTCAATCACACACACCTGTCCCTGATGTCCCAATTTGAGTGGGCCGGGTCATAGTCATGCGCACGCACACACGCTGGCAAGTTGCCCCGTGACACCACGTCTGTCTGTCTCGTTTGAGCCCAACTTGCCTCACAGTAAACTTTTAGACCAAGTTTTTCTGTGGTATTCTTTTTGAAGTATAGTCTTTGTTCAGTAGTACCTTTGAGATCCCTGAACACATGTTTCACTGTATTCCAGTGTTCCACAGTTGGTTCACTAAAGTGTTGAAAAAGTTTACTGACAACATAAGTGATGTCAGGTCTGGTGCAAGTGGATCAGTAAATTACACTTCCCACTGCCTCTCTGTATTGTCGGGACATTTTAACATTTCCGCATTTTCTGAATAATCAAGTTTAGGTTCAGGAGTTTCTCATTTTGCATTTCAAACCTTTCTAAAATCTTTTTCACATATCCCTCTTGTGACATTTTGACTTGTCCATTAGTTTGTTCAAAATCCATTCCTAAGAAATGTTTCAATATTCCTAAATCGTTCATTTTGAACCTCTGAGTCAGAGACGGGGAGTTTCTCATGAAGAATCTCATTATTGTGGCTGTTGGTACAGTCGCGCAGGGCCTGGGGCTCACTGGGTTCATGTGGGTCAAGTGCAGAGAGGACTAGGGTCATCATGGGTCTCAGATGATCCCCCTCCATCTCACCCTGAGTTTTCCCAGATTTAGATTGGACATCACAGCACAGAGCATGTTAGCATGCACGTATGGAGAGAGCTGTATCGGTAAAAATTATTTAGAATATCTGTCTTCTATCTCCGCTGATCCACCATCAGAATTACAAATGATCAATCTCTATTGTTTATTCCCAAAACAAAACTGGCATAATTCTATTAGAAACAAGACTCATGTGGTGAATAGATCAGGTGACCTCTGGCCTGGGACCACTTTAGTGAGTGCCCCCTGCTCATGGAGTGGTTCTTCCATGTGTCACTGTGTCCCCAGTCCCCCTCGCAGGGCTCCAGGATGGACACTCTGCACTGCTGGAGACTTACCCTCCACATGAAGGCCACACTCAGGGAAAACTCAGGGTGAGATGGAGGGGGATCATCTGAGACCCATGATGACCCTAGTCCTCTCTGCACTTGACCCACATGAACCCAGTGAGCCCCAGGCCCTGCGCGACTGCACCAACAGCCATAATAATGAGATTCTTCATGAGAAACTCCTCGTCTCTGACTCAGAGGTTCAAAATGAAAGATTTAGGAATATTTCTTTGGAGTGAATTTTGAACATTCTAATGGACAAGTCAAAATGTCACAAGAGGGATATGTGAAAAAGATTTTAGAAAGGTTTGAAATGCAAAACGAGAGAAACTCCTTCTGAACCTAAACTTGATTATTCAGAAAAGGTTAGAACAACCCCGACAATACAGAGAGGCAGTGGGAAGTATAATTTACTGATCCACTTGCACCAGACCTGACGTCACTTATGTTGTCAGTAAACTTTCTCAACACTTTAGTGAACCAACTGTGGAACACTGGAATACAGTGAAACATGTGTTCAGGGATCTCAAAGGTACTACTGAACAAAGACTATACTTCAAAAAGAACACCACAGAAAAACGTGGTCTAAAAGTTTACTGTGAGGCAAGTTGGGCTCAAACGAGACAGACAGACGTAGCACATCAGGATATTGTGCCAGTCTATGTGAAAGAGAGTTCACTCATTTCATGGAAAACACAAAAACAACCGACAGTAGCCCTTTCTACATGTCGAGCATATCTCTTTAGCTTCAGCTGTACAGGAGTGTCTTTAAAGCTACTTCAAGATTTAGACAGTTACAACTATGTTAACCCTCTCAAGGCAGGCGTTGCAGATTTGCAACACCTAAATGCTCATAACCTAATTACTCCACATCAATATTTTTTTTGCTTTTTTTAACTCAGAAGTACCACTGCAGGACTTGGTTGTGTATTAGCGCAAAAAAAATCCCACTAGCTCACCACATGGCGGAGCTGTCTCATTTCCAACATGACTTCCTCCTTGGTGTCACTCAAACAGATTTTCTAGGTATCAACTTCATGTAAGTATTACTACTAAACTCCATTAATTTGAAACCAAAGCTGTATGAGATGAATTATGAACATACGTATATAGATACAGTACATGCTAATTAATAGATTTTATCTCCTCTGGATTTTTCCCCAGGTGCAGCTATATTTCAACGTTGCAAATTTGCAACATTTGGCCGGACAGGTACCAATAGATGCCACATGCTTTATCTACTAGTTTGCCTATATTTTGAGAAACAGTTTATCCTAAGTTTATTTTCCTATCACTAGTGTCCACTTATTACTTATAGGTGCCATTGAGGATATATCCTATGGAAAATGAAATGATTTGGAGTGAAGTTACTAACTATCAGAGTCAGATTTTATCAAAAGCAATGGTATATTACGATGTTTATTTGACTGTGCAGTGAGGAAAACTGATGTAGCCTAAATTCCAAGGCACATATATTAGTACAGCTCTTTGTTTGACTGAAAGCTTTTCTTGGAACAGAATTCTCTCTTTGCAGGTGTGGTGCATTATGGCAGGCCAAAAGAGATTGCATTCAGTCAGGGAAGCCATTGAGATGGTCCACCTTCCGGATGGAGCTTTATCTGAAACAGAATCCATTTCAGACGATGACATTGCTGATCCATCCATTGTTCAAGGTGCGACCAGTACTTGAGAAAGTCCGTACCAACTGTTTGAAAGTTGAACCGGAAGAAAATCACTCCATTGATTAGCAGATGATTTACAAAGAACAAAAATTGCTTCTTGGAGTACCACACGAAAATGTGACATTCAGATATGGCCTTCTTGATGAGGATTTGTAATGCCGCAGTTATCGGCATCATGTTTATGCTTTTCTCAAGTTATTTCTAATTTTGTTTTTTACAATTAGAAATTCTTTATTACTATTGTAATTTTTTTTCTCCATGTTTTACTCATCTACACCAAGTTTTTGTATTGTTCTTCTGCCAATGTAAGCACTTTATAACATTGTCTTGAAAAGTATACAAATAAAGTTAGCGTTGATATCATAATCATAGTCTTTGGTGTTCAAGTACCACACCGGGCCAATGTTGCAAATATGCAACATCCCAGAACACATTGCACGTGAAGGTCACGCTAAAAAAAAGGCAGGATTGTATATTACTACCCCATATGATAATTTTCCCAAAATTTCAGATTTTTCCTGTTACTACTGTATATCTTAATTTGGCCCTGAGAGGGTTAAAACAAAAGTGTACTGTTACGCCTTTCCTGTTATAAGCCCCAAGACTGATGTCGAGGGGCGCAGGGGAGATTTGCAGCTCCAGGGCCGAAGGGGTGCTTTCCTCCGGGGCGTAATTCCCTTCTTGTTTGACCCTCGCTGTTAAGTGTGGTGCGGATATAGGGACACGGACTGTTGCTCAAGAGTTGGCTTTATTATCTCTCCCAAAAACAACTACGCTCCCTGTCTTGCTCCGGTCGCACTCTCGCTCTTTCCTAGCTTTCACTCTGTCTCTGTCTACCGGCGCGCTCCCACACACACACACACACACACACACACACACACTACTCTGATCTCACAACACTACCCCCACCCTGGATGGCAATGACCAATTCCAATCCAGTAACATAATAGAAAACGGGTACACATTTCCCCTAATAGCAGGCCTGAGAATAACTAAGAGGTAGCAGTGTCCATTATAACTAAACAGGTAGGCTTCAATACAAGAAATGCTGTCTACTCAGTGACATATTAGCTTATTTAAGGCAACATGTGAACATCAGTGATTAATAAAAAAAGGTAAACAATACACTTCTTAGTTATTGTGGCGACCGGGAGCAACATAAAACTGACTGATAATTACAAATAGAAAGTTACTTATACAGATTAAGCATGACTAAAGTGTACAGGTATAGAAATATACAGACTCTTGAGCATTCTTTTTTTCTTTCAAACTGCAAAAAATAGAAAAAGGTGCATTTAACAGATACACAGAACACAAGACAACTGTTTCAAAATATAAACTGCAACGTCTCTAGTGCAACTTCAGCCGTAGAATATAGTCTACTCGGTTAACCAGTCACCATACCGGTCCGGAGCTTGGCGCTGACGTCTGGAGTGCAGTTCCACAGGGCGCGGGGGGTGTGACCCTCCCATCGCACCCCCACCCACCATGGTCAAGTGTGACATGGGAAGGAGAGGATGGAAGGGACCCAACTGCATCGGATGCAGACAGAAGTGGCAGCTGGGCATGGCTAGCGCCGTCACTGAACACCGGAGAGAAGAGGCTCAGCAAACCGAGGTCCTGGTCAGCGGCTTCTTGATCTGCAGCACCCTGGTCAGCGACGCCTTGGTCCACAGCACCCCAGGCAGCGGTATCTCCGTCTGCGGCGTCCCCGTCAGCGGCGCCCCCGTCAGCGGCGTCCTCATACACGGCTGGAGGCTGGACCTCGGAAGCTCCAGCCGCTCACGCATTTGCTATACATACTCTGGGGTTGAAAGTGCACGGTCAGAGTCAGGGGGCAAGCCAGCTACAAGATCCACGGGTTCATTGATCTCGCATCCAAACATCATAAAGTTCGGTGTGAATCCTGTCGAACTGTGCTTGGTTGATCTGTAGGCCTTGACTGCATATGGGATCATTAAGTCCCAATCCCAGCGGCAACGTTCCGCAGTAGAGGCCAGGATCTTCTGGAGTGTGGCATTGAAACGTTCAACTTGGCCGTCTGACTGCGGTCTGAAGGATGTAGTGTGGGTTTTCTCAATCCCAAACAAAAGGCACATTTCCTGAAACACTTCTGACTCAAAGTTGCGTCCTTGATCGCTGTGCAGAGAGTGAGGCATTCCATAGCGACACACCCATTCAGTTGCTACAACTTTGGCCATTGTGACAGCCTTTTCGTCAGGGATTGGAAATGCTTCAGTCCATTTTGTGAAATACTCCTGTATCACGAGTATGCAGGGCTGGACTGGCCATCGGGCGTACCGGGCAATGCCCGAAGGGCCGATGCCCATATTTGGGCCGGTCTGTTTGCCTCATACAAAAAACATGTTTGTGAAAAGTGTAAATCCGTTGAGAAATGTTCGAGGGGAGCGCGCGTGTCCGCGGGGCTCCTGCTGTATGTACTCGAACGAGATTCCACCACCTCAGCGGCCGCAGTGTTCCCGCATCCAGCGGCTCTGAGCTGGACGCGGGAACCGCTCACAACACAACACGGTGAGCGCGTAGCCGCAACGTGACCATGTACCCAAGACCATAAACACGCACAGGACCATGCATGTCTTTGCGTAATTTGTGCACCCAATAAATACACCGCTGCAGAAAATAGTCCGCGTCTCCCTTCTCCTCTAAATTAAAGCTCGGGTACCTAAATTTTCCATCGCATTAAAAGTTCATGTTTGAGCCCAAAAGTAAAATGTTGTGAACAGATTAAACAGATTTAGAGCCAGCTAGTGGCTGACATTATGCATTTCAGACATTTTTGACCAATTCTCATCCCTGTAACAAACAACAGTGTTGTCTGTGTCCACCTCCCTCACTCTGAGACATGTTTATTACTCTGTTTAATGTAGACTATTGTACTTTATTTTATTGTTGAAACTGCAGACATCCTGATCTCTACAGTACTTGCTTGCACATACTGTATACACCAGGGGTCGGCAACCTTTAGTGCCCCTAAAGTGGCTCCTGGAGCCTTTTAAAAAATGTCTGAAAATGGAGTGTGAGGGCTATATTTTATTTCTAGTTTTAATGTGGTTTCTGTAGGAGGAACAACATTCTTAACGTTTTTCAATGCTGAAAAAACTTGTATAAGTAATGTTCAATTTTAGCATTTCTGTCAACGTAGTGCGTCATATCCTGTGATGCGGCCCGTGCCAGGCGGCCGCTGCTGTAAACAAACCGGCGTGTGTGCATTATAGACTGTGTGTGCATGGATCCCAAAGATAAAGAAAGGAAGAGTCGATGATAAGACTGGAGTAAGAATGAGAATGAACATTTGCTTTCAGTCAATGAGGAAGGACTGCTTCATGTTTGCGATTTAATGAAAAGTTTTGTTGCAACAGGAGGAACAATGAAGCTTTAAACTTCAACATAAAGTCAGAGCACCTATTTTCAGACTTCAAATACCTTCGCAAAGACGGTGAAAGAAAAGGCCATTAAGGACATTCAGCTCCAGCAAACTTCAGCCTGTGATGGATATGAACAGACAGTGATGCAGGTGAACTCTGAGCCAAAAAGCAGATTTATTTACTGTATTTGTACAATTGCATGAAGGTTAAACTTAAAGCAGAGTTGTCACGTGGTGCGTCATTCTCTCCAGGACACGCTGCAATGAAAATACACATTTGATAATTATGAATGGTTTTTATGTGTTTAGCCTTTACTTTGTCATTTAGATATTAGGCTAATATAGCTAATGTATACAGCTAATGTAGCTAATACAGCTTCAGCCCCTGTTACCTTCATATAAGCCTTATACAACGCTGTTTTTTTTTTTTTGCGGCTCCAGACAGATGTTGTTTTTAGTTTTTTTGTCAAATATGGCTCCTTGAACCTTTTGAGTTGCCTGGGCCGCTAAGAAGGAAAAAATGCCCGGGCCGTTTTTTTGTCCCAGTCCAGCCCTGCGAGTATGTAGCGGTTTTTGCGATCGGTTTCATTGAGTGGGCCCATAATGTCTAGTGCAATGCGCTCCATGGGGGCACCAACTCTGACAGTTCCCATGGCAGCTCGTTGTGTCTTTTTGACCCTACAGGCACAGTCTGTACATGTACGGCACCAGAGGGCCACGTCTTCTCTCATGTGATACCAGTAGAATCGGCTTTGAAGTCTGGCCACAGTGCACTCAACACCGAAATGCCCCTCGTGCATCTGGCGCAAAACATCGGGCTGCAGTTTGCGTGGCAGGACTATTTGGGGATAAAACTGGGTGTCGTCCATACAGTAAAAACGTTTGACCAGTACTCAGTCTTTGAAATAAAGTCTCTTCCATTGACTCCAATATGTTTTGGTGGCTGGGCTGTATGGGGACATAATGGAATATGGAGGGCGTTCAGGACTGGCTTCCAACCAAGCTCTGATTGGGGCAAGATCTGAATCTGCAGCTTGGGCATCACGCAGTTCCTCCGGAAACAATGTGATCTTATTTGTATTTGTCACATAGATCGTCTCTGTGTTGCTCTCTGTGTCTTTGCTTACCCCCACCAAACTCACAGCTGTTTCAGTCACGGGGCGTGTCTCCACCCCCACCGGACTCTGCAACAGGGATCTGGAAGCAGAGTCCATCTCACACTGGATTGCTTGATGACGTGGTTTTAGGCTGGGAGGAGGGATCCCGCAATTTACAGGGGCAAGACTCACGACAGGGCA